CATTTAGGATTATAGAGAAATGTCTGCAACTGAATTTGTGAGTAAATTAGAACAGTAGACAAATGTTATTCATTTGAATGGTACTCCCAGTGTTAACCCTTTCATCACTGCAGACCACAAAACCGGAAAGGGGAAAGTAAGTCCATAAACACTATGGACCGACTTTTCGGTCTGGAGCAGTGATCTTCTTTAACAATATAGTACCAGACTAAATATCTTTTGGCATATCTCTAATAACTTCCTTCTGGTAATGTAGATGTTATATTTGGATGATCTCGTGAGTTTAGCTTGTATACAACTAGAAATATCAAACAAAGTACGAACTTCTGACGTGTTTTCCGAATGCTGAAGTTTGTATCCAAAATGGCGGCGTTTGCAGGAATTTTAAAGGAGAGTTTTTTGAGAATTTAAATAATTTTGACCTGGTAAATTTGGATGAAAATGAAAGATGTATGGAGAGACAATGGAATGCACTTGTGGGTGACAATGATGACGATGATGACTTTGAAGGTTTTGAACCAGAGGAATTGTACGCTCCACGTGGGTTTTTTTTGGGGACGAAGCCCGAAAACCAAAGAGATTTGTTTCAGTTTTCTGACAGAGTTGGGCACACCCGAGTGTTAGATGGCTCCAGGAAAGCTTCGGATTATTTTCAAATATTCTATTCAGATGAAGTTTTTGGAAAAATTGTCCATTTAACGAACTTAATTGTGATGATCAAATGTGGCAGAGATGATATAGGTGTGTGGACAGATCTCGGCTTGGAGATCATTTTGGTTCATTTTATAGAATCTTATATACATGTATTAAGGACACCATGAAAGAAAGTCTTGTGTTGCTACTGTGATTATTCACTAGTACATCTAGGGTCAATTGAACAAGTTTTGAGAACTTTCTAAGTTTTCTAAGAGGTAATAAAATAATTACTTGTATTTTACCTGTTGTGTTACCTGTTTGTACCTGCTGCATTTTAACAGTTGTAACAGATATGCATATTTTATTGAATTAGTCATAAAATTTTATTTTTAACCTTGATTTTGACACTTAATCCAGCCAGATACCTTTAACATTGGCAAAGTTATGTTGTTTCCAAGTCCACAAGTCATTTTGCTTTACAAGTCCAAAGTTACTTAGTGTTGAGGACTCTATGCTTACAAAGTTACTTAGTGATGAAAGGGTTAAGCTTAGAGTGGAAGTGTGAACCTTTGTGCCAAAATTTAATCAAACTAAGCTGTGGTGCTGGACAAGTGTTAACATTTCTTGCTGAATGCATAACTTATGATGGTGTTGGTATACAAAACTGATCCATTGCCAGCAGTCAGAAATGCAAGGGAAATCAACTGAGGCTTCTGTAGCAACAAAACAAAGAAAAATGCTTTCACAATAGGTATTTACTTTAAGGGGATTTACCACAGTGCAAGACATAATCAATGAAAGTAGCACCATGTAAACTTATTTTGTCTATACAAAAAACATTGTGTACCTCTCCTTGGCTAACTCTCGCACAATGGGGTCCACAAATATAGACCATGCTATAAGCAAGGGTGAAGAGTTACCAAGGGACCCCCAAAGAGCAAAAAACTTGTGCTATACTTCATGAAAACAGTGCTGTGTGTGAATGTTTGTGTAGGGAACTGGGTTGTTTAACCCATTCTATCCTGAGAACCTTGATTTTTGACACCTAATCCAGCCAGATACCTTTAACATTGGCAAAGTTATGTTGTTTCAAAGTCCACGTCATTTTGCTTTACAACTCCAAAGTTACTTAGTGCTGAGATTTCTATGCTTACAAAGTTACTTAGTGACAAAAGGGTTAACAGTGTAACGAAAGTCACAATTTCAGCAATATCACACAACTGGCAACCAATAATGATGCCTTTCTACAAAGTTAAAATTAAAATGTTTTTGTCAGACTTTACTTACCCTGATGTCTTTTCTCCAATAAATTCAAATTTTCACGAAAGAAATGAATCTTTTTTCAAGTTTTGTTGGCCTACATTTCAGTTGGCTGGAAAGGGATGAAAGCCAGGAATGCGAAATGGGTTAGGTTGATTTATTATTCTTTAACTAAACAAATAAAAAATATATTATGCCTAATGGAACTACCTCATATCTCCCATATGAACCTACCTGAACATACTTCAGCATATCTCAACTAAATTCACATCCCAATACATGCAATTGTATGTCAACGAAACATGAAAATGCAACTATTTGCTAGTGTCATATTCTGATTCCACCAGAATAAAGACAGCACAGTAAGTATATTAATTACACATATAGTGGACGAGTGTCGTTTGAAATATTCCTGAAACCTCGACTACTTGTTCCGATGTCAACGATATCGTATTCCTGAAACCTCGACTACTTGTTCCGATGTCAACGATATCGGAACTGGGCATGTAAGGCCGTTATTAGGGTAGTAAGACATAGCACCAAAACAAAAACAACATGTGCCGTCTTGTATTGTACGACTACACTGCAGGCCCCTTCATAAGCAACACGAAGTAGACGAGTTTCATATGTGCATTAAACGTCTGTATATCTTTACCCTGAAGTAAAATGTGAACTTTGTTTCTCAGAACTGGTTATTGATTGGATACATGGAAATTATTTTACGCAAATTTAAACGCAGTGCTTCTCAATGTGAACAAAGCATGACAAAGTTCCGACATTTTTTCTTCATTCGTAATGAAAAAGAATGCCAACGAAATGTTAATAATTTCAAATGCATTAATTATATACTTGCAGAAGAGTTATTTTTTTCAATATATTTATAATTACAAACGTACTAACAAAACAACTGGATGCAAATCGCGATGTAACTACGGACTAGGTAGCTTTCCCAATTCGTACAAGCGTCCTTGGTGAACCTGTCACAAATGCAGGTGCCGAGGTTAAAACTTAAATAATTGCACATTGACGCTTAAAAAAAAATACTTACGCAGGCCCGTTCTCTTGGGTGATATTCAAAGATGATAAAATATCCTTTAGATGATATATATCTAAAACGATGTTTGTGATGTCTTACAGATTGTGTCGCTTATTCTTTTAAAAATTTTCGTACCAAGATGGCGTACACAACAAATATGTAAATGAGTTATGATGTCACCCAATCCCAGAATGCAAAGCATTCGATAATGTTGAGGGCGAGTTTACCGTACCCACTAAAGTGGATCAGCGCTCAGTATAGAAGCACGTTCTTGTATCGGTAAATAGGTCATTTGTACTCGTTACTGGAAGGAAAACTGAAAGTACGAATTTCATATTAAGATCGTAATCTCAGTCTACCTTGAAATATTTGAAATGATGCTAAGTGAAAAAAGTGCGTTCTAATTTGACACGCTAATGGGAAAGGCTTATTTTCATTGGGAGTTACTCAAGTTATCTTTGGCTGAGCCACATGTACTTCATGAAATAACTAGTTTAAGGCCTTTTTTGAATTTTCTGAGCGCATTATGTGATTGGATATCTTTTTAGACCCTGTTGAAGAGTGAAAGTTAAATAAATAATTTAAGTATGGTGACTTGGAAAAAGAGCAGTAGAGCAGGCCTAGTATAGTCCGAAAATCCCCTCCTATCCCACCCGGCCCACGTCCAAATAAAAAAAAAAAATCCATATAAGTACAGTTTTAGGGCTGATTTATCGGATTGGTAGTTATGCAAACCGTCGCGGTTGTATCACCGCAACAATGGCAACAATAGAAAGAAAATGTTGATTTTAACGGTAAAGCATGTTTAAAAAACAAAGAATAAATGTTAAAAATTTTACCCTTAAAGCTCTCGTTATCTTCTAAATTTTTATTACAAAATTTACAATATATCTTTAAGGTCATAAAAATTTGAACATATATATATATATATATATATATATATATATATATATATATATATATATATATATATATATATATATATATATATATATATATATATATATATATATAAAGAATACAAATCATATGGTGAATAACAGCCCTTTTAAGCGTACTGGATCCACTAAGGGATCACGTGTGTCAGGGATTAATTAAAATAGATGCAATAAACTGACAACGAACAGTGCTAGTTAGTTACTAGTTTCATACTGTGCATTGTCAGTTTATTGCATATATATATATATATATATATATATATATATATATATATATATATATATATATATATATATATATATATATATATATATATATAACGATACGAGCCCCTGTGATACTAATCGCCATGTATAGCATGAAAATGGCGTTAAATGGCATCAACGACACAGTAATCAATACCAATATAACTGGACTAAAAAAAAAAAGATATTCTATTGGTACGTGTAACAATTATACGCCTCATATTGTATCAGTAATTTAGTAATTACATAGTGGATGGTCGCTGAATGAGCGAATATCAGCAGGTCGTGGTGTCGCTGTGCTCCTGCGTGTAACGTAACACAATGGTTTCACGTGCCTCAAACTGAGTTCGTTTTGACCTATAAACCTGTTTTTTCGTGTACTTAATTGGCAGTTAAGCGAAGTAGATAAGCTATTCCTAGACATTTATAATAAAAATATCAGAGCTTATTGAAACGACCTTTATTAACATTCGACATCTGAAACATATTTCGTTTAAAATTACTCCAAAATCTCTGACATTCCTATGACAGCGAAGTGCAAGTAAGTGCTTTTGTTGTTTACAAAATGCTTTCGGTATTTCCATTAAATGGCAGGAACATCGTTGCGAAAAAAAAAAATTATTTCCTCAAAGTCAATCTTGTTAAAGTATATTTTCGTGGTTAAGTTACAACTATATCTTGCAATAGTTTTATATGTTATCACATAACGAGGTAATTATTGCTTTATCAATCCACTTTTATTCAGAGAAAGCCGCGTCAGTGTCTCAGTTACGCGCACCATAAATAACATTTGATGGCATATTATTTTCAAAACAACTTTTGTACACGAACGTGGGAATAGTTCAACTCGCTGACAAAATGCTACATAAATCATTAGAACCACCGCTTCGGTGGATTAGTGGTTAGAGCTTCCGCCTCGGACGCGGGAGATCGCGGGTTCGAACCCCAGCTGAGTCATACAAAATACTCATATAAATGTTACTAGGAGCTGCCCCGCTTGGCGCTCAGCTATGATGTTACGTGTCTGCTGCATTATGCCCCGGTGCTTGAGATCAGACTGAATTTCTTTTAAAGCTAAGTTCTCTCTCTCTCTCTCTCTCTCTCTCTCTCTCTCTCTCTCTCTCTCTCTCTCTCTCTCTCTCTCTCTCTCTCTCTCTCTCTCTCTCTCTCTCTCTCTCACACACACACACACACACATACACACACACTGTCTTAAATATACGCACATAAATAATACACACACAAATGTGGGAATAGTTAAATACGGTGACAACATGTTACATAAATCATCATCCGATTACACTTAAACACCGTATCTTTTTTTAGTTTTCAATTCTGTTAGAGCATTATTAACAAGAAAGCAACGAGTTTTTATCTTCCTCTGCACATAAATGTGTTACATGTATATTATATTAAGTCTATTAAGTAACACATGTTGGTTTGCTAGCGGGTAAAAGCACCTACCAGTTACAAACATTTTATAAAATAGGTTAAACACCGCAGTCTGTGAGTAGTGGAGGAAGAACAAGGGAAATCCCCTTTAAGAACCATTGACGGACGGGAAAGCACCGATTTTAATCAGACTGGACGGAAAGCTTCCTCAAACACCTCCATGAGCTGAGTCTGAGACTTGAAGGTACGCGGACTGATGAGAGACTGAGCCTATTTAACAAGTTTGGGGGCCAGAATTGCGCCTTAGTCTCTCATTCTCAGATACAAGGCATTGCCTTGCATTTCCATGTGCATCTGTGTCATTTGGTTAAATTTACTAATATAGTAGTAAACTGCTAACACAACCGACACCGATATTTTGTTTTGAGGTTGCCGCGGGACCCCCTTCTGCGCGGGCCATAGGCACGTGCCTCGCGTGCCTATGCATTAAAACGGAACTGATGCGAGATGACAGTGATAAGCGCTTTTGACCACTCGGCCACCTGGGGGCCAGACATTTTGGATGGATCAGTTTTATCTTTATTTGATTTATAGGACTGCGTTACATTTTAATTTTTAGTGGCAAAATAACATGTACAAAGTCTAAAACAATTTGAATGTATGGTAAAACGTATGCTTGTGTCAAGTAGAAAGGTTGGGATGAATCATGTAACAGTTAGGAACCAAAGGATGAATCAAGTAACAGCTGGGAACCAACAAAACCATGATGTTATTATAATTAAGGTGTGTTTAAAAGATACCTCTCTCATCCGAAGACTATGTATCAAAAAAACACCTCTTAATCCTCACAGAGGGAGAAAAGCACAACAAATAAATAGTGGCATTAAAAACAAAAAATCTTTCAGATGCAACTGACATTAACAAAAAAGTTTGAAGAACATAAAACACGGATATGTGAATTTGTCTTATTACAACACCTGACGGGAAAGCAAAACTACACACAACATCATCGTAAGTAAACAAAAAAAAAATGGTACACATCGTAAACGTGATCAGACTACTACAGTCTACACGATGTTCTGACAGACTAAAAAATGACAGAACTGTTGAAAAGAAAAGAGGTCAGAGTTAATATCATTAATCTACTCTCAACTTCCGCTTTAAAATTGTAGATAAACATTACATTGTAAACAAAATAAACAGAAAAACCAGATGGTATTCCACAAAATTCTGAATCCAATAAAAGTAGTTAACCAAGGAAAAAGAACAACTGTATTTACAAGGTTAACCAACAATCTGTGACAGTAAGACAAGCAATTGTAGAAAGCAAAGAAGGTAACAGTTATGAAGAGAAAAGGGTGATGATAAATGTATGGGTCCTATCTGCTGCTGCAATATGACAATATTTCATCTAGGTGACATGTGGCAATGTTGAAACTTTAAAAATCAATATTCATCAAGAAATAAACAAATAATAATTTATGTTGATCTGCTATGGATTACACATGATAAACAATGTGCTTACGACATCTCGCTAATACCACAAAACTGAAAACAGCATGATTAGTAAATAACGAATCTGCTAATGCCCCCCCCAAAAAAAAATAGCCTGTTTAGCAAAGAAAGAAACAATCTGACCAGAACTCCTAAGCATTAAAATTCGTCATGCTACCGATAAGTAATTCTACATAATGCTGCTATTGCTTTCTGAGTAACAGCAAATAATTACCAATATTTCTTAAGTCTATTTTTTTTTTGTACAACGATGGAATCTTCTTTACTTCTTAACAAAGCATAGCATATTCTCCTCCATGATACCTACTAAACCATGTAGACAACATTTGATATTGTCGTACATTTTGGAGTAGCATGTGCATGTGTGTGTGTGTGTGTGTGTGTGTGTGTGTGTGTGTGTGTGTGTGTGTGTGTGTGCTGGCGCGCGCGCATGTTTCCTCTTGTATAGTTCTCCACTTTTTAATATTTCATAATGTTTATCAATTATAGTTCCGGCTTCTATGACATCTTTAGTAAATGGCTCATTTGTGCCTACTGATTGAATTTATATTCCCTGTGAGGTTTAATATTTTTGTTTTATACGACTGCGTGTTAGGTATCTGATAGTAGATAGCATCTCTTCAACAAAACGGCCTATTAGATTTTGTCTTCTCCATAGTAGTGTTTATAACAAATCCTTCCAATCCGGACTACTAGGAGTTAACGTCACGTTGATATTGCATTTTGTCGAGATTTGAATTAAATCTTGCCATCAGAATTATGCTTTATATAACAGATTATTTTGCATCAAAATTTTAAGCTACTTTCCATCTGGAAGTGACCTTCGTCCGTGTCAGTTCCTAATTTTATCTGCTATTTCTACTCACGAATAACATATAGTTAAATGTAGAAGTTCTTCAATTACTAAATCATCGTCCTAATAAAAGACTTTTCATTGGAATTATCCAAAATCGTCCTCGCCAACCTCTGACAGGTCAAGAAAGAAATATTGGGGGAGAGACGTATAAGATGGCAAAGATTGTTTGGGGAACATATACTTTATCGCTGGAATGTTACGCCATTGGAGTAACCATCTCACCTAGAAAGAGACAACTGAAAACTTCATCTTCAACATCATCATCGACATCATCAATCTGTGTAACAGCATAGTTTCATCACTGGATAAATGAATTTAATATATCAAGCAAAAAAGTTTAAATTTGCGTGTTTTGAGAAGCTAAACTTACTATCAGCAGAAGCTGAACAAATGAACTCACGTTGAGATGACAGTCAAACCCTTTTGAAAAATGGAAAATATGGATTTTAAAAAAATATTTGAAAATGTTGGAGATGCAAACATTTAAAATTCGTACAGATTATCTAATGAACACTGTGACACTACTGATGAGCAGATTTATTACAATCGAATTCAGGTTGCTTTTGAAACGAGTAAAATCTGTGTATATGACATACGTTGCATCAGATGTGATTAGTTGATATCAAAAGGTTTTGAGTACTTGCCGGAAAATAGAGTAAATAATACCGTTTAAAATTTCCTCAGCTAGGAAATTAACCTCTTAGGACGATTCAGCCTTTCACATGCGCTTTACTTACAGCAAAGTTGTTTATGTTTTAAGCTGACGAAAATGCAAAAAAAAATGTACAACAGATATCGATAAAGGTCTTCTCCTATACCCCACCAACATACCATAACAAAATTAAATGAATTAAAACTTCATTAGGACTATTGAAGAAAAAATGCATTATTATTAACTCATCTCAAATTGTAACACACGTATCTGTTTCCTAATCTATTCTTTTGAAGAAGTTAAGATGTCAATAGGTCCATAATTAAACAGAGATATTAGTGAAAATGATTAAGTCGTTATTGTTTTTAAGGTTAGCTAACAAGCACATGGACTTTTAAGGGAAAAACGTCTATTAAAACTATACAGGAAAAAGTAAAATCAAGCTAACAATGCTGAAATGTTTAACATTTTTGTATAACAAATGGCACAACGTTTATTTGTAGATGATTCTGTGATGAAACAGCAAACGGAGATTACTAATCGTGTGGCATTATTTTCTATCCTCTAACTGTAGCATACATCAGTCTTTTGAGAAGAATAAAAAAGCTGACGATAAGAATCAGTCTTCACTCAAACACGAACGGCGAACAACTGCAGAAATTAGTTATTCCAGCATCTTTCATACAGTTCACAACTAAATAGCATATCGGTTACAACGAGATAAAAGTTTTACCCAAACTTATTGCACCTTAATTTTGAAATCTGCACATTTTAAAACAAATCAGAAATTATATTTTAAATGTTTGTGGTTACATTTCTTCGTTGGAACGCAAGTCATAGAAAGATTTTTAAATCATGCACACACATAGTGTGTGTGTGTGTGTGTGTGTGTGTGTGTGTGAGAGAGAGAGAGAGAGAGAGAGAGAGAGAGAGAGAGAGAGAGAGAGAGAGAGAGAGAGAGAGAGAGAGAGAGAGAGAGAGAGAGAGAGAGAGAGAGAGAGATTCCACCGTCCTTCAATGCCAATAGAAAATAATAGTAATAGTTTCAGGATGCTGAAAATGGCTGAGATTAAAATTTACTTGGTTCAAAAGATCAAATACTACGAAGTATAGAGAGTATTCAATTGGCTGGAAGTCAGTATTCAATTGTTGCATAGCTACAATTTCATGTGGTACAGGAATTACAGCATCGGTGTCGGTGATTTAGCCAGGACTTATGGGCCCATACGCAAAGCATACCAATGGACCAATGCAACGTTAATGACTAGGATATTTGCACTTTATGTAAAGCTTACTGATGATCTCGTGCAAAGATAATAGCAATTTCATGGGTCCAGATTTAGAGCATTTTGATGGTTGCTATATTGTCTGTTCTTGGTTTCTTTCTACAATGTAAAACAAAATTGGACTGAATCGGCCCCCATATAATCATGGTCATCTTCTATGTGTGGGCCCGTATTCAGTGCACGTCCTTGCTAAATGGTAGCAATCAGTGTGAAGTGCTGCAGAAATAGTTAACATTGTAACTGTTCCTGTTGCTTT